AGCGCAGGCTCGCATCCCGGGATCTTTCCTGATGGACAGCGGCAACAACACGCGCCCCCTCCGGGGATAGAAGGGAGGGGGGTAGGGCGCGTGGGTGGGGGGAGGGAGGGAAAGGAGCGAGAGCGATAAAGAGTGAAGGGGAGGGGCGGGTGGAGGAATATCGAGAGAGTTAGACGGAGGGAAGAGGGCGGCCCGGCGTTGGAACGGACGAGCGAGCGGGATGGCGAGAGCGCCGCGGGCGCGTAAAACTAGCGAACAATTTAAACTCCCCTTTCAAGTCGCGCGGCTTTGTTTATGCGAACGAAAATAATTCGTCTGCGTGTCTGTCGCTCGCCGACGTCCGCGCGCGAAAATAACCGGATATATACCTGAAGCGCGCGCGCGCGCATGCATTCGCTCGTTCGCGCGAATCAGCGGATCCGCGTGAGACTGACGTGATCTGGAAAATTGTGTCTATATTTAATGTAATTATCAATATCTTATGGGGAAAACGGCAGAGGGATAAACCCACGGAGTTCATTCGCGACTGGCGGCGATGTAAATTATTTTTCGCCACGAACTCGTCGCGACTCTTCGCGGGGATTATAGAACGACTTTCCCCGTTGTTCGCTGATATTCTGCAACGCAGAAGTAAATCGGCGGAGTCGATCGAATTCAATTTTCGGTAGGATCGTAGGGAGGGGAGAAACGATTTATTTTTACACGAAGCGATGTCGACACGGGCACAAGATATACTTTTTCGAGAATTACTGGAGATTAACCGGCTCAAGCTTCCGTGAATTCCCCGCGAGCAATGAAGATAAACGCGACACCGGCGTTATACGCCGAAGCTGAGCGTTGCGAAGTGAAATTACCTCGGAGAAACAATCGGTAAGGAAGCCAAGACGACGATGACGACGAATGCTCTACTCCGCTCTCTCTCTCTTTCCTGGCAAAGTTAGTCCCGTAGTCGCGCGGCCTGTCGGTCTCGCCGTCAAGTAAGAGAATTACTTTCGAACTCGCAGACCGATAAAACAGGCCCTCCTCATTCGCCGCGCGGGCTCTCCACGGACTCGGCGGGACCTAAAAACTTTCCTCCACTCGTAAATGAGCCAGTTGTTCCCCCCTTCTGCCGCCCACTAGCCGGAGTGCCCAGTTTTACGATCCATTTGCATCCGGCCTTAAAAGTGCCGTCAAAAGAGCCTCGCAATTAAAGGCATGCCCGCTCTATACGCGTCTTCTCGCGGGGCGGACATCACCAGCCGGCCGATGTCGATTTGCCGGAGCTTCGAGTGTTCGCTCTCGAAAAAAAAGCTGCATCGTCGGATACTTCGCCATGGAGAATCTTCAGCTTTTCTTCTCACCCTTCCTCTCTCTCTCTCTCTCTCTCTCTCTCTCTCTCTTTCTCTCTCTCTGTTCCTCAGGAACTCTTTCGTTTCGACCCGTGTCGAAAGTTTAGCCCCATGTTAAACTTTTCATTCTACTACATAGCAAGCTGAGATAACAAAACAGGTACAATTTGAATTCTAATGATATAATAACCCCTACTTTTCTTCACGCTGGCGGTTATTCTCGCGACATTCCCGTAGTCGTTCACCATCGCTCCCAAGTGCGCGACACGTTCTGTCTTCCCGGGGACAGGACAAACGGGATTTCGCGGGCGGCGCGGTTTTTAGACGCCGTCGAACGCCCGTGGGAACGAGCTTGCCCGCAAAATTGGACGGACTGGCGGGGGGAGGTTGCCCGGCGGCTAGGTGGACGACGTAGGTGCACGTACTGCGCTACTGCACGAAACGAGGGAGGGAAGAAAAATGCAAGAAAGACGGGGGGAGGGTGGAGGCGAAGGAGAGGGCAAAACCCCAGCGAGATTGGATCCCTGAAAGTGGTTCGTGCTAGCCCCAGCTGATTACCAGTTTCGTTGATGGATTCTTAGACCTCTTCGGCGAGCTTCGGCCCTCGTCGCTTTCTCGCGAGCGCTTCGCACGTCCATCCTCGTCGACGATCGCTCGGAGTGTTCTCCGATATCAGCCTGAAGGCTTTACGGCCGTTTTGAATAAACGATTTCGTACGACGGCGCGCGCATCCCGCTGCCGAGCGAGCGAGGATTTCTCTTTCTTCCTCGTCGGACGTTGGACACGTTACATGTCGATCCAAGGAAACGTTGAAATTCGCGCAACTCGAGTCGAAGATCGCGGAGTCTGCGTCAACGCAGGAAGCGGGCACGCGAGTGCCGGCCGCGCATTCGGGACGAATCTAAAATAGAACAATCGGGAAAATAAATAAAATTAAAACAAAAACCACACCACACACACGCATATACCGACCTCGAAACACATGCTATCGCGCGCGCTAACTCAGCTTGCGGCCTGCAAAAAAAAAACGAATTCTGATACGCTGGCAAAACCAATTATTTCGCGGAATGCAACTTGCGGTTCATTTAACGCAACGCGGATACCTGATATTTTATATAAAACCATCCGGCCCCCCCCTTCCCCCCCGTACACGCACACATACACCACAGGTTTGAATCAGTCGCGGCCACAGTGACCGCACTTGATACTGTCACACCGCCAACATTATTCGCGACTTTTTTTAAAATTCTCGCGTTACCTAAAAGGATGGCTCTCGACTGGCCACTGCCAGCGTTGATAACCTATCGCATTACATCGTAAACGCCGTAATCCGCTAGTTATCTTGCTTTTTTTAACCAGCTGAAACCCCCCCCCCCCNTTAAGCTAAATCTCAGGTAAATAATATTATTTACAATTATTTTTAACTACAATTCCGGCAGCAATAAGAGGAGAGCCTTGCCTCTGCGCAATAAGAAAAAGGTCCTCCGAAAATTCGGATTGTACAGGAATAAAAATCATTATTGAACTCCGACAATCGAGTCAAACGAACTTAATTTGATCCGATTGCGAAAATTTCGGCGACAAAATTCGCGTGATCCTGGGGACTTGGTTTTCCGTTTATTCGATCCTTTCCACGTGCATTTTTGACGGAATTAGCGGAGGAGTTACTTGAAATTGGGAACTTTTTCTCTCTCGCGGATTATTCAATACGTAAATATGTATATTTCTATAATATACACCGTTGCGCATCGTTTCGCGTACGAAGCGAGCTCGTTAAATTCGCGCGACATCGACGCCTTTTTCCGTTCGCTCTTGCGTCGATCTTTCAGCGGAATCGAACGCTGAGAGATGGAAAACGAACGACATTTCACGCCGAAAATTGCATCGCTGCCGCACGTTTTGTTAATAATAATTTCGCGCCGGCCGATCGGTCGGCGCTGAAATCGAGTTATAGACGCGAATCGAATGCGATGCTTGAAACCACATTAGAATCAAGGGTGGGCGAACGCCGCTGTCAATTAATTAACCGGTGATACTTAATCTCGTTACGCGCTCGCACCACGCGTACGGGAGAACGAATCGGGCCGCTGGAATTTTCTTCCTTATACCGTATGCATTATCGAGGCGTATCAGGCGTGACTTCTGCAAGCTCGCTCGCAAATCCGGCCCGTACGCTCTCCCGCTTAAAGAGTAATTTGCAGTCACGCCGAAATTGTCTCCGTTAACTGTTCTTCATTAGCAAATTGGCTGGTAAAGGTCGGCATCTCTCATTAAAGATATACCGTAGCGAAAACTTTTCGAACTAATTTGCAGTAACTCCCTGCCTCGTAAAAGCCTGAGTTCCCTTATATTAAATAAAAATTTCAGTAATGGCATGCTCTCTCTCTCTCTCTCTTTCTCTCTCCGTGGCGCGTCGCGCAGCGTTAGTCCAATCTGCGATGATTACATTCCTCGGTCGGATGTCACTGACGGAGGCTCGCCGGAAGCCAACTATCCGTGAGAGAGCTCCATTTTAATATCGCACGCTCTCCCTCACTCCCGATGTGTATTTTCGCTTCGTTCCCATTCAATGGGACCTCCGGCTATTATTCAATCGGTGAATTTCTTATCATATGTTACGTGATGAAACGTTCGTCCGTCCGCTTCGGACTACGGTATCGTCCGCGCGAGTGCGCAACGCTATTCGGAACGATCGATGGCGTTTCAGCGTACATCTACGGTCTATCTTTATTATGTACAACGCGCGAGGATATTAAAATGTAAAGGCACTGTCGGCGCGGAAATCGCTCGCGAATCCTCGGAATTTCTTCGAGTGAAATTCCACTCGATGCAGCGGAGCGACGGCCGAATCGCTCGAGCTTGAGTGATCTTTCGCTCGTTTTCCGAGTGAGACTTCACTGCGAGAATTTCCGAGAGGAAACGTCACGAGTGATCACGGCGGAAAATCCATACGCACACTGAAAGGCAAACTTGATAACAGTCATCAAACATTTGATTATACAGTTCCAATCGAATGATTCTGTCACAGTAACCGAATCATTAAGTTAAAACTGTTTCACGAAATGTTTGGTAATTGTTATCTTCTTTTAGTACATGTACGCGTATACACATACACACACACACACTCTCTCTCTCTCTCTCTCTTTCTCACAATTTCAACAATTGACTAATTAACGCTACGAACTTGCGACGCGTTAGAGAGTGTCGTTGTTCTCCTCGTCTTCCCATTTTCCCTCTTTTTCTCTCCTTCACCGATTCCCGACGGTTTCTGACGAAAAATCAGGACCGTCCACTCACGATCTTGATGCGGAATTGATGGTGCGTGTCGTCGCGCGCGCCCAATTATTCGTTTATTGGCGAATACGGCGAGAACTCGTCGCGTGACGATCGCTTTTCAGCGCGCTACGCCAGCCGCAACAATATCGCGATCGGACGACACGCCATTACTAATTGTCGGCGAGCCAGCCGTTGTCGTACTTCGCTCGGGCATCACGCGTGCACAATCGTATTATCGGATATTGATTCCGGAGGCATCGACTTTCGCGCCTGTCAATGCGATCGCGCGAAACGCGCGCCGATTTTTTCGCCCCTTCGGCGCGGCGACCACGCGCGTGCATTCGCATGTCGCGAGAATTCGCCCGTTCTTCCGTTCGGATAATTACTCGCGGCCATCGGACGCTGTTTCTTCTTTTATTCTTTTGCACCTTTCACGTGCGACTCACTGATCGAAGATACCATTGAAGAGCGGTGTAACATCGACGTGCTTACAATATTCGCGAGCTGCTTTTTTACATCTTTCGCAGTCTATTCTTACATCGCTATGGCGAGCAAGCAACGCATTAATCTCTTCAGGGACGAGTGTATTGGAAAAGTCGGAAGCAGATGATGAAATTTTCAAGCGACATGAATGTGACATCGGTCCCGATGGCATGACGGGGTGTCTCTTCTTCTCGTACAGTGAATATTCACTCGCTACTGTAGGTCTGTCCTTTTCCGCTGTACTAGTACACTGACGGAACTTAAGAAGAGACGGATATGCAGTTGAGACTTGATGGAGGAAGGAAGAAAAGAGAACCAGTACCAAGGTAGTCCAGTTTCAGCGAGAAAGAACAGATCTGATCTTCATCGACGGTGCTTTAGTTTAAAAGAAGCTAAACATGTGTCGGTAACGTCGATGAGTATTTTAATGTTACTTTCGCAATAGTCCGTCGGACTATTAACAAAGGCGTATATAAGTCAGTACACAGAGATTCTCTACAGAACGTAGCGATCAACTTCCGGAGCTTCTTATTCTCTGGACGCGAGGCGACGTCCATCCGTAAAGCGCCGGGACGCGATAAAAGGAGAGAGAGAGAGAGAGAGAGAGGATCCTCGACTGCAGTCGTCTCGAACGCGATTTCATCAACGATTAAAAACCGCATCGAGGCTGCAGGACGAACGCGTCGGGTGCCGGCAGAAGGGAAGGGCGATCGCAGACGGAAATCGCGCTCCGCCTTCGCTTCCTCTTTTATTGACGCAGCGGTGCTCATCCGACGAACAGTCGAATCCTCCTCTCAGTTCTTCCTCGAGCGAGCGGACAAGCGTTCTCTCGTCTTCGGCTGATCGCGCTTCGATATTCATTGGGCAAAGATTTATCCGCCTGGTAATCTCCCGCACGTCCGCGATCCGCCGGCTCGAGTGCGCTCTCGAAGAGTGACTCGTCGCGATGTATCGGCGATGTTCGCCGCTCGACCTCCCGCTACTCGCGCAGGAGCCGCCGATTGTCCGCCGGATAATCTCGCCGGTCGTTTTCCGCTCGCGACGGTAATCGTCTCTCTCTCTCTCTTCTTTTCCTCGGTCTTTTCATATTCTTTGAGAGTTCCGCTGGCGCGATAGGGCCGAACGTAAATCGCAACGCCGGTATTCATCAGCCGGTGATGGAATACCTAAATAGTCTCGATTGACGCCGCGTCCGGGAATCTGAGATAGAGTGAGAGAGAGAGAGAGCGACTCTCAGGATCAAACGAGTGTGAGCGGAGAAAGAATATGACTTATGGCGATTCATCGAAGGAAGGAACGGGTGTACTTTGTCGTGTGTCTAGAGGGTAGTCGGTATTTTTGAGTCGGTTGTCTCGCGGCGCTTTTCGCGACTCTCGCATCGCGAGGAAGGTATTCTCTATTTCGGGCGACGACCGTCACCCCTCTTCTTCTTCGCTCTCTCTTTCTCGCTCGTTCCAGCTCCTCTCTTCGTACCGGGACGACGCATCGCGTGCCGCCTTTCCGCCCCCTTCATTTCCTACGCACGAAGATATTCTCCAGAAGCTCCTTCGTGATCAGCCGGTGAGGTCTGGTCGGGCTCTCGGTGGGCGTACCGTAAAGTCGACTGTTGATGGCGTAGAGCTTCGGGCTGAGCTCGCACCTCACGTTGAACCACCAGTCGCAGACGAAGACCGCTTGGCTGAATTGCGTGCCGTTAGGACAGAGAAACGTTGCCTGTCGGCCGTCTATGTCGCAATAATGCCACGCCTGGCATCTCGTCTCTACGTCGGCGAAGAAGCCGGGGAAGGACTGGTCGTCGCAGTAGAAATTCGTGTAGGGCACCTTACCCAGCACCGGATAATCCGTGCCTGGCCGACCTGCAATTATCATGAACACCGTGAGCATTCGCGATCGATCGATAGTCGTTTTATGGGGGGGGGGGGGGGGGGGCGAAGGGGGAAAAANATCGGTTTGCAATTAGAACATTTGTAACGAGCCGGGAAATTGATATACTTTTTACATTATTAACGAAGGCACTTAATGAGGTGGGGTCGATAATTGGGGCGGATTGATGCGGCCTTTGCGAGCCTTCCAACCGCGCCTCATCATCCGCGCTCCCCGTTCCGATATCGTTCGATCAGCCACCCTAAATTATTCACGGATTATTCCGGCTGTAATTTCGACGTTTACGAATTCCCTTTGCGTGAAACCCGCGAGCGAGCATAAAGCACCGGGGCGATTTCGACGAGTTAGCTACTTAAATGAGCGCGCGGCCGAGCGAGCGGAGAAGGTCGAACGACTCGGGCGCGATGCGGCCGCGGTTCTTTGCCTCTTCCCGATTTCCTATCTGTTCGTTGCTCTCGCAGCCGTGGTCGTTCGAATCTCATCGGAAAATTGTGCTCTTTTCGCGCGCTCTCCAACTTTATCGAACAACAACACGACTGTGTGTGTGTGTGTGTTTGTGTGCTTGTTGCCAGAAGCGAAGAAACGTGGTATTTTGTTTAGATAAAGTCTCGAACGCATGCCGGAAAGGGTGGGGAAGGAGGGAGGATGATAGAGCATCGGAAGAATTTTTCCGGAGACGAAATTTCTTTCGAAGACTCGGGGAATTTTCCGACGATCCGCGTTTTACATTCCGGTGGATATCACGCATGGAAATTCTCTCCGCTTCCTTGTGTGTAGGTCCTTTCGTGTAGGTGATTTCGTCGTTTACGCCTTTCGCGGGACTTCGTCATCCGCCGGCCTCATCTCGATTCTCCTCCCGATGCTCGCAGTAACGAAACCTCCCCGTTTCGCGATCGAACGCGAAAAATGTTTTTAATTTCATACCGGCGAGAGTCAACAAGCGATCTTCAGCCGGGATCACGGCGCGAAGGCGGTATCGCGATCAAAAGAGGTGGAAACAAAGGGTAGACAACTTGAAGCGATTCGCGTCGGGACTGAAAGTGGGCTGCCAGGCGCATTAAGGCGCCGCTAAAAGAGCCCAAGGAAGCGCCCTCGGGGTCCTCCACCCACACTTCTGCTTCTATTCCACCACTTTTCCGTCCTCGTCGTTCCTCGCTCGGCACCGGCCTCGGCGGAAAACGAAATAATTAGACCGACACGGTGCGCGTGCACACCTCCGAAAGGGGTGAATAACTCGAGAACGAGAATACGTTCGACGGTGTCGTCGACATCGTCGTCGTCGTAGATTCTACCGAAGTTATAATTACGCGGACCCAACTACGGACTCGGCAAGAGCGAGCGAGCAAGAGAGAGAAAAGGAAAGAGAGAGAGAGAGAGAGAGAGAAAGCGAAAAGTAGACAGAGGGGATGACAGAGGGTTGAAACAGTGGGCGGAAGCGAGACGGCGAGCGTTTATTCCGTACGGGTACACGGAATCTCTTCCGCTGACAAAACAGGTCGGACAAGCGGCGCAAGGTGCGAATTTCGTATGGATGTCGGTGCGATACGGTCGAGTTTATGCGACCGCGTCGGAAGGTGCACGTTTCGTATACGTTGCCGGGGTGTTGCGCGCGCGTACAGGCTGGTCTATTTCGCCGCTCGCATCGGTATTCGTCGAGGCACGTCGAGACACGGGTTCGCTCTCCTCCTGAAGGTCTCTCTTTCTCTCACCGGCCAATTCTCGATTTTAAGCTAACTTGAACAAACAACTCGGCGGACACAGTCGACGCGACAATTTCTTGAATAGTGCAGAGCCAACTGGCGATGCATTGATAAGCGTGGAATCGCTGAAATAATTTGCCGATCGCTCGAATTCTCGTCTAACTGCGCGTGCGATTCTCGCACGAAAACACGACTGCAATTTATTGGGGGTACGGTTGTTTATCTGAGAAAAGCATTCCGCGCTTCCATCTTCAGGAATAGGTAATTCGTTGAATCCGAGGGAGATTCAACTATCGTAGAAGCGACTCGCGCGTAGCTACGAACGGACTTCGATAGATATAAGAAATTAATGCGACGTGCATAAAGTATTACTTACATCCGCAACTCGTTAAGCGGAAATGTGGAGGTCAAGCTGACTCGCAGACACGCGAATGTTTCTCCGTTCTTATCTGCGATATTGGCAAGTCGCCATTTTCAGCAACTTGCCTCCACCACTTACTCTTGGATTTAACGAAATAGCAGCAATAACACTCGAGAATTCCGAGATTCGAACAACAGTTTTATCCCTCAAAAAGTCACGCGTTCACTTACGAGTTAACGGGAGATTTATCAGATACTTTCGAATATTCGACTTTTCAGTTAGATCGCATTTCTTGCGACTTGATTTTACTTCATTCGAGAATAGTGCAGTTACACGTTTACTTTGGGACACCCTGTATAGTTTCCACGTCCTTCTCCCAACGAGGGACGTCTCGTTGTTCCGCCTTCGTCGCACGCTCTCGCGAACGACAGTATTCTTGCCTGGCGAAACTAAGCTTGTCGTCCGATGAGATTCGAATAGCTGCGAGGCCAGACGGAGACGCGAAGGGGGTAGACGGACGACAAAGAGAGCGAGAGAAAGAGACGTTGGCCTGGTGAGAGACAGAGAGGACGGAAGGTTGTTCGCGAGCCGGGGACAAGACGGGATGTTATATCGACGCAAAACTGTTTAGACAGGTATACCCGCGCTCGAAACAAAACCAAGCGCCTCCTCTCCTTGTAATTGCTGAGGAGTTCTTCAGTGCCGGTAAAATTGGAGAGCGACGACTACGCGCGCGTAGAAACGAACGCCAACGACATTCACCCTTAACCCTTTGCACTCGAAGTTTTTTTTCATTCATATTACCAGCAACTCGAAGCAATTGGAGCAGTGGAAAGATCATATTCACATATAAGTAAATGATATGCGCATTAAAAGAAGTCATTGTTGTATGTTATTGTTTTTTAAATTTTGTTAATTTGTTAATAGTTGTTAATAGTTTGTTTTAAGTTTGAAGACAAATTTTAAATGGCTCCGCTCCGGAGCCCTCGAGTGCAAAGGGTTAATAATACGTCGCCATTAGCCGATCCGCAGGGCGCTCCTAATGGAGTGGAGTTTCACTTTATATATTTCATTATTAATTAACTCCGAATCGTCGAGTGACAGTTTTTCGACCACTTTTCGAGACTTCCCTCCGGGGATCAGAGCAAATCCGAGGGCTAATCTCAGGAGAGGATGTCTCGGAAAATGCCGGGAGAAACACATCGCTCTTATTCCACGCGATGTTGAAAATCAAAAAATAGCTTTACAAACGATTTCACGCGTTTCTTGATCATTGACGGGGAAATTCAGGTTTCGTTGCTTTCGACGATGCGAGCGCGCCTCTGTCTCGGATTCGTGCGAGACGAAGTTTTGCGCGATTTATGGCCGTGGAAACGACGTTTTCCGTCCATACACTCGGGGCGCGGTCCCATTCGCGTAGTTAACGAAGTAGTTCTCTTAATAAGCGGCGACCCTCTTTGAAACTTCCTTCAGCAATCGGAGAAAATACCGGTTGCCGCTGGTACGTACGATCCATGCAGCGGGTACTTCTTAGCATTATTTTAAGGGGGGGGGGGGCGATTCCGTTCTTGGGAATTTTACGCGTTGGCACGCGACCAAAGTCCCTGTCTCTCTCTCCTTCCTCCACGCGTACGACGAGACTGGTCTTGTTATCTTTACCGCCGAGAGACTCCGGCGCGCGTAATCTTATAAAATCTCCCGCGTCTCCCTTTCGGAAGTAAAACACGAATCTTCAAAATCAAGGCTCGCCGCACCGTCGCGAAGCTAAACGCCGTACGTCGCTCTTGGAAACGCCGCGGGCTGCTCGGCTGTTTCTCTTCGCCGTTTTACTTAACTTTTCCACGGGACTTCTTACCGAGATTTGTTTCGCCTGGCTGACCCTGCGCGCCTCGCACAACGATCGAGCGGAATCAAGGGGATCGTATTTTCCCGGAGGGGACTCACGACCCCGCCCGATGAAACATTTTCGAAAAATACCCCGCGACACGTACGTCGCATTTCGTATTTCCTCCGGGAGCGGGAAATCATTCATCGAGCGGAGACAGTTCTCATGCGCGCGCTCGAGGTGAAACAACGGAGTCATCGATTGCGTTCGCACGAGCGATTGTTTCGATATTATTGTCCCTTCTCGGGCAAAAGCGCTCCTCTTCGGCAGCGCCGTAACGACGGCTACCTTCTTTTTTGCGTTCCTCCGAGTCGTGCGAGAGCACGAGACGCGGAGTCGATATTCCTCGCGAAACAAAATCGCGAGCTCTCCTCCGGGGACGTATCAGACGGTGCAATGAAAAGTTCACGTAGTGACTTAGATCGCGCGCTGGGGAAACTTCTGTCTCGAATTACTGAAGCAGAATAAATAAGCAAAACGGGGGTGTACACGAACCAGTCTCTCTCTCTCTTTCTCTCTGTTTATCCTGCCTTATTTCCCTTCATCTCCAACCGTCTTTCTTCTTCGCTTCTTCCGCCGTGTAGGAACTCCTAACGAGTACCAACGATAATAGACACCCCTTCCCCCGGTCGTTCCTCCTTGACGTTATTATTATCACCGACAATTACGAGGACATCGAGGACCTGTCGCACAGGATTACCTCTTCCGCCTCGCTTTCGCCTCAACCGAGCGGCGAGTCGTCAGCGAAGGGGAAGACTACAACCCCGTCATCCTCTTTCCGTCTCTTCGCGAAGCAGATAGTGGCGGTCTCGCGTAGTCTACGAAGGACTTCCATTACACACATGACGGGAATATTCTCCTCGCCTAGGAAAGGGACGGAACTCGCTGCTTACATCCAAGATTCAAAGTTCGGCTCGCTCGTAGTCGCACGTAGTAACGTCGTGACACCGGCAAGGCGACGTTCGCGCAGCCGTCAAGGGCGTTGATTAACCCTTTGCAAGGCGAGAGACGTGTAATTACCTAACG